ACAGGGAGCAGGAATAGAAAGTGAAACATAAAATTGTCATTCATAACATGTTAAAGCAAAAGAGGGATACTTGCCTTTTGTAAAATTTCGAGGCTCTGAATCCTCTGAACTCGTAGTAGTAACAGAAAATGTGGGAGATCCTATAAAATGTTTCATAAAAAATAAAATATTCAAATGGGAAAAGGAACAAGGTTGGGGGGGTAGAAGGAAAAATGGATACAAAGCTTTTGCAGATAGGCAGGATAAGAAGGGTTGAAGGGAGCGTTGGGAAAGGGGAAAGATACAGTCATGTACAGGTACAAATTCTGTATGATCACATGTGATGGTTATGTATATCAGAAGAGTACCAATAAAATTAACTTTTACAAAACAGGCTGATGAAGGAGATTACACCAAAATATTGAGCTGTGTTAATCACAGGAAGGCTCATCTCACTTAGTGAAGGAGAACAGTCAGAGACTGAGCTGAGGAAGAGCAATGCTGCTCTCTCCAGGGTCTGAGGACTGAAATCGGAGGGGTCAGATACCCTGACTGAACGTGGACAGGGAGCAGATTTGGTGCTCACAATCTTGGCCCAAGCAGGGCTGAACTTGGCTGTCTCAGCAGCTTGATTGGTTGTAAATGCTAAGCTGAGTCCAGCTTTTTAAAAAGATTTTCTTTCACATCTTGGCTCTTAAATTTTGTTGATGCTACAAAACGCACTCTGATTTTCTTGTTCTTTTCAATGCATTTATTTGTACATGAGAAAACAAGTACTTCAATATAAAGGAACAGGTCTGAGTGCTCACCCTTTCTTGCACCATCCCCTCCTGCCCAGCCTTCCCTTTATGCCCGCACAACCCTCACACCCAGGACATCATCTACTCAGCACCTGTGTTAGTCCAACACGCTCCACTTCAGTAGAGGAAGCCCTCTAGACCCCATTTCACACATTCTGTCTACTACTTATTATTCTCTTACAGCTGTGCACAACCTTACACTGAACATTTATACTCCCTGTAACTGGGCCTGGGGATTTCAGATATCCAGAATCAACTCCATGTTCACAATTCTATTTTATTGCACAGGTCAATGGATAGTAGGTAATTTTATAACCAACCATAAGGTAAGATGAATAGGGACTATTTAGATGGAACCTGATTTTCTTCTCCTTTTTTCTAAAAAGGAAAGAGCATACAACCCAAGCCCTGTTCAAGTGCCTTATTCAGGAAGTTCTGCAGCCAAGGACAGGCTGGAATAGGGAATTTCGGTGGGGACAGGTCACTCAGGAGACATCTGCAAAGCATCTGCCAAACTCAAGGAAAGAGGACTTGAATTGGGGCTTCCTGACCTGTGCAAGGAGCGGAAAATAAAGTGCGACATTACATTGTCATTGATGTTAAACCAAAAGACAGTTTACTTGCCTTTTGTAAAATTTCCAGCATCTGAATCTTCTGAACTCGTCGTAGGAACAGGAGTAGTGGGAGTTCCTATGAAATAGTTTATTTAAAAAAAAATGAAAACCAAAATGTTCAAATGGGAAAAGGAATAAGGTGGGGTAGATAGAAGGAAAATTGGAAACAAAGATTTTGTAGATAAGCAGAAGAAGGGTTGAGAGGAGGGAAGGAGGAAAGACAAAAAGAAAAACCACAATAAATCTGTACAGGTACAAATTCCGTATGATCACACATGACGGTTACGTATATCAGACGTGTACCGATAAATTTAACTTTCACAAAACAGAGGCTGATTAAGGAAATTACAGCAAAATATTGAGTTGTGTGAAGCAAAAAGAAGGCTTGTCTCACTTAGTGGAGGGGATCATTCAGAGACTGAGCTGGGGAAGAGCAATGCTGCCTTCTCTCCAGGGTCTGATGACTGAAACCAGAAGGGTCAGATACTCTGAAGATTCGTAGACAGAGAGCAGGCTTGGTGCTCACAATAGCTGAGTATCAGCCCAAGCAGGGTTGTAAATGCTAAGCTGAGTCTAGCTTTTTAAAAAGATTTTCTGTCACGTGTTTGCTATTAAATTTTGTTTATGCTATAAAACGGACCCTGATTTTCTTTTTCTTTTCGAGTCTTTGATATGCATTTATTTGTACATAAGAAAACAAGTACTTCAATATAAAGGAACAGGTCTGAGTGCTCACCCTTTCTTGCACTGTCCCCTCCTGCCCAGCCTTCCCTTTAGGCCCGCACAGCCCTCACACCCAGGACCTCATCACCCAGCTTCCCTGTTAGTCCAACACACTGGGCTTCTGCACAGGAAGCCTTTAGACCCCGTTTCACACATCCTGGCTACTACACATTATTCTCTTACCACTGTGCACAACCTTATACTGAACATTTATACTCCCTGTAACACAGCCTTGGAATTTCACATATCCAAAAGCAACTCCAATGTGTATTTTATTGCACAAGTCAGTGGATAGTAGCTAATTATATAACCAACCCATAAGGTAAGATGAGTAATTACTATTAAGATGGACTCTGATTTTGTTTTACTTTCTACTAAAAAGGCAAAACTATAAAACCAAACCCTGTGGAAGACAATTCCAGTGTGGGGGATGAGGTGTCACTTTGTAGGCCCCAACCCCCTCTAACCTGCAATTTACAATAGCCCCCCGGTATGCGAGACCAAGGTAGAACAGGAATGCCTGTTCTCAGTGAGATCTCTCACCCTCTGGAAACCATACTGTGAGCTGGCTTTGTTTTGCAGAAGTCTTGAGGAAGTGGCTGGCCACCCTTTGTGACACTAACAGCAGACAAATTAACAACATTCTTGAGCTAATGAATTTCTTCCTGGGCTAGAGAAGTTAGGAGAACTGGTTGTGATTATTTGCTTCACTTAGATAGTTTAGAATAAACATTGTAGTCTGTCACATTCTAGCTTGTCACAAAGAATGCCTTTTCACTACTTAATTATTTGGGCTCTGTGAACTGATCCGGTTTACTATATATGAATCTTAAAATAAAGATTGTGCGTGCAGTGCAGTGCAACGCGGTGCAGGCAGTAAGGTGCCGTGTCTCTCCTGTCTTCCTTTCCGAGTGCTGCACCCCCCCGTGTCCCGATCAGGCGTGTTTGCGTGTTTGCCTTTCCCGGAGTTCAGAGTACCCTAGATACTCACGGCACTCCAGTGACTGCATTTGAATGTAAAACAATTACTGTGACTTTGATTATTTTGAGACTGATTTCCTTATACGGATATGTACAAACCTGACTAGGGTATTTCCTTCTCTATTCAATTGGCTCTAAGCATTGCAAATAAAGCTAGCCGAGGTGCTAACACACAATCTCTATAGCCAACAGACAGTCCTGTTTCCTCCCATAACGTTGTTTGTACGGGATACAAGCATGGGAGATGCTGGGGCCAACAGCTCCAGGAATGTCAACTGGGAAGGAGCCTCAAAATGAAGAGGCTATAACTCCTCAGGGCACAAGAGTTTATATATCAAAAACTAAAGTGATAGCCTCCCAAAACAATTCCATTGCTACCTTAATTAATTATGTAAATTGAACCTTTTGCCTATCTATCTCTGCAATTTACAGAGATCCCATTTTACACCTGGCCAGCCAGCTCAAGTTACTCAAGTAATTCCCACCATCCTCACTGTGACTCATCCCTGAACCACCCTCCTTTATCACAAGATAATAAATTCTGGGAGAGGCCTCGGATCAAGGCCTTTGTCCCCATGTCCTCACCAGGGATGGGGCCTTGGCGGCCCTTAACTTGGAACATGTCTTGATGTCTTTACTCTCGCCCTGGGTTGCACTGGCAGTGGTAGATTGCAATTAACTTGCTGGGATTCCAATAACGTCTCAATGGGATTACAAATATAACTTTTTGGATTGTGAGGAAAGCTAAAAAGATGGTTACAATGCTTGATGACTAAACTCAATATTTGAGATTACAATAGCCTTGTTCAGGTTCCCTATGTAGGGAGTTCTGCTCTAAGGACAGGCTGGAGTAGGGATTCGGGTGGGGGACGGGTCACTTAGGAGACATCTGCACGGCCTCCGCCAACTCTAGGAATGAAGACTTAGCAACCTACACAGGGAGCAGGAAAAGAAAGTGGAACATAAAATTGTCATTCATAACATGTTAAAGCAAAAGAGGGATACTTGCCTTTTGTAAAATTTCGAGGCTCTGAATCTTCTGAACTCGTAGTAGTAACAGAAAATGTGGGAGATCCTATAAAATGTTTCATAAAAAATAAAATATTCAAATGGGAAAAGGAACAAGGTTGGGGGGGTAGAAGGAAAAATGGATACAAAGCTTTTGCAGATAGGCAGGATAAGAAGGGTTGAAGGGAGGGTTGGGAAAGGGGAAAGATACAGTCATGTACAGGTACAAATTCTGTATGATTACATGTGATGGTTATGTATATCAGCAGTGTACCAATAAAATTAACTTTTACAAAACAGGCTGATGAAGGAGATTACACCAAAATATTGAGCTGTGTTAATCACAGGAAGGCTCATCTCACTTAGTGAAGGAGAACAGTCAGAGACTGAGCTGAGGAAGAGCAATGCTGCTCTCTCCAGGGTCTGAGGACTGAAATCGGAGGGGTCAGATACCCTGACTGAACGTGGACAGAGAGCAGATTTGGTGCTCACAATAGCTGAATCTTGGCCCAGGCAGGGCTGAACTTGGCTGTCTCAGCAGCTTGATTGGTTGGAAATGCTAAGCTGAGTCCAGCTTTTTAAAAAGATTTTCTTTCACATCTTGGCTCTTAAATTTTGTTGATGCTACAAAACGCACTCTGATTTTCTTGTTCTTTTCAAAGCGTTTATTTGTACATGAGAAAACAAGTACTTCAATATAAAGGAACAGGTCTGAGTGCTCACCCTTTCTTGCACCATCCCCTCCTGCCCAGCCTTCCCTTTATGCCCGCACAGCCCTCACACCCAGGACGTCATCTGCTCAGCACCTGTGTTAGTCCAACACGCTCCACTTCAGTAGAGGAAGCCCTCTAGACCCCATTTCACACATTCTGTCTACTACTTATTATTCTCTTACAGCTGTGCACAACCTTACACTGAACATTTATACGCCCTGTAACTGGGCCTGGGGATTTCAGATATCCAGAGTCAACTCCATGTTCACAATTCTACTTTATTGCACAGGTCAATGGATAGTAGGTAATTTTATAACCAACCGTAAGGTAAGATGAATAGGGACTATTTAGATGGAACCTGATTTTCTTCTCCTTTTTTCTAAAAAGGAAAGAGCATACAACCCAAGCCCTGTTCAAGTGCCTTATTCAGGGAGTTCTGCAGCCAAGGACAGGCTGGAATAGGGAATTTGGGTGGGGACAGGTCACTCAGGAGACATCTGCAAAGCATCTGCCAAACTCAAGGAAAGAGGACTTGAATTGGGGCTTCCTGACCTGTGCAAGGAGCGGAAAAGAACGTGCGACATTACATTGTCATTGATGTTAAACCAAAAGACAATTTACTTGCCTTTTGTAAAATTTCCAGCATCTGAATCTTCTGAACTCGTCGTAGGAACAGGAGTAGTGGGAGTTCCTATGAAATAGTTTATTTAAAAAAAAATGAAAACCAAAATGTTCAAATGGGAAAAGGAATAAGGTGGGGTAGATAGAAGGAAAATTGGAAACAAAGATTTTGTAGATAAGCAGAAGAAGGGTTGAGAGGAGGGAAGGAGGAAAGACAAAAAGAAAAACCACAATAAATCTGTACAGGTACAAATTCCGTATGATCACACATGACGGTTACGTATATCAGACGTGTACCGATAAATTTAACTTTCACAAAACAGAGGCTGATTAAGGAAATTACAGCAAAATATTGAGTTGTGTGAAGCAAAAAGAAGGCTTGTCTCACTTAGTGGAGGGGATCATTCAGAGACTGAGCTGGGGAAGAGCAATGCTGCCTTCTCTCCAGGGTCTGATGACTGAAACCAGAAGGGTCAGATACTCTGAAGATTCGTAGACAGAGAGCAGGCTTGGTGCTCACAATAGCTGTGTCTCAGCCCAAGCAGGGCTGAACTTGGCTGTCTCAGCAGCTTTTTTGGTTGTAAATGCTAATATGAGTCTAGCTTTTTTAAAAGTTCACATATTTTCTCTTAAATTTTGTTTATGCTACAAAACAGACTCTAATTTTCTTCTCCTTTCTACTAAAAAGACTAGAGCAATGTGTGCTCACTTCCTATACAGCCAATGTCACTTATGATGCTGATTTAGTCCAAATGTGATCTCATTGTGTGTGAGCTTCTGACATTGGTTTCTTTTGTATATTTCATCATGTGAACTACGACAATTTCCACAGTGATAGTGGATGTCTGTATATTTTGTTGGTTTTGTTTGGTTGGTTGGTTTTTCTGGTGATTGGGATTGAACTCAAGGCCTTCCCACTGAGCTACATCCCCAGCGTTTTTTGGGGGTTTTTTGGGGTTTTTGTTTTTGTTGCTGGAATTTTTTTTCAGATAGGGTCTCTCTAAGTTACTAAATGTTCCAGGCTGGGATCCAACTTTCGATCCTCCTGCTTCAGCCTCCCAGGGTGCTGGAATTACAGGCATCTGCTACTAAGCCCAGCCTATGTGAAGTATTTTAATAATTACCCCTGGTCAGCAGGTATGAACTGGAATGCAGAGTCACTCCATTCATAAGAGTCTTGCCCGTGTTCCCACAGCTCAGTACCCTTTTCTGGGAACACATCTACAGGGCTATGAGGCTGCATGGGAATACAGTCACCACAATTCACGTAGCAGTGGGAAAGGGTGCTCCTCTTGAGACCCTGTGACCCCGAGCTCTGTCCCCCCACCCACCGCCATGTCCTCAGGTGTTAATGCACAGGGGCCAGCAACAACACAATGGATGGCCTCTCATTCTGCAGTAGGTACTTACTAGAACAAAATGGGAAGTTATCGTACCCAACCGCACACTCCTCACAGTGGTCTCCGCGGAAATTGGGCTTGCAGTGGCAGCGGCCTGAGCCCTGTTCACAGCCATCCGCGTGCTCAGGGTCACACTGGCAAGCTAAAGGAACAAGAGTTTTAAAGGATTGGTCCTTTGCTGTACTGAATAGGGCAGAAATGACCCAGTACCTCTGGGTCGTGTGCTTCACAGTAGAGTGGTCCCCAGCTTTCCTTGGCAGGATGCAGTTGTTCCCCACTTCTCCCTTGATTGTTGCTTCTCTGTGACTGGGCCTCATGGGGCATTGAGGAGCAGCTTTTGTGAGCACCCTCACTGGGCCGCCCTTAAAAATGTCACTGATAACACCAAGCATTGCTTGGCTCGCTGAACACAATGCAAACTACTCGTACGCAGACTGCAATCAGAGGGCTGGGTGAGTGAGCTGGGCTGTAGCTCCCGGCAGGTCTGCTACCCACAATCTCTCCTGGACATAAGCTAACTGTGCAAGTCCACAGAGTGGCCAGCAGATCCTGTTACGACACTTTTGGATGCCTAGACATAGGTATATAGTCTATAGACCGCCTAACAAGATTACGCCCATCACCCAAATGTTAGATTTGAAGGGTATAGCTTGCTGAAGGCAGTGTTTGCAACCAAACATGATTGGCAAGCTTGCATTTCAAAGGGACATGGCTGGAGTATGAAAGGTTTGGTAATCTCAGCTTGGGGGCTTTACTGGATGTGGCAGTATGTGACCCAAGGCAGAGAAAATACTGCCATCACTCATCTGGTCCATCTACTTGGAGAAACTGGGAGACTGGGCATGTCCTGATGGCTTCCCCGTAATTTGTTTAGCATTTATGTGTCCTATGGATCTTCTGTAGCAAGCCTCTATGCAGCCATGGGCCACTTAATGAAGAGGAACAAAATTAGGACAGTGAGGTTCTGAGCAGTACCACTGCACTAACAACACCCCGTTTTCCTTCACAATGCCTTCCCTCTGTGGGCACAAGACAAGTGGCGAGTACAGTTCACAAGATGATGAGAAAGAAGGGAGAAAGTGGAAAGACTTTTTAACAACTAAAAATGCCCTAGAGAGGAGCAAATCGTGTTACATATTCTTCGGGCTTTAATATCCTCGAATATTCATATAGCAAAAATTCATTTGAGGGTTGGCACAGAGTTCAACTTCAGAGTTGGATTTGCTTTCTAGCAGTGACAACCAGACAACATAAAATAACAGTGTTATTTTATAGCCTATAGGTCACTGATGGCAAACCTGTGGCACATGTGCCAGTGGGCTGTTTGTATTGTTCACAGCTCTTGAAAGGTTCACCATCACTGGCATAGGTTATATGTGTAGGGCAAAGTCTATAACCTGGCCTAAGACTCATGGTTCCACAGGGGAAAACTAATTAGAGCACTGTCATGCCAGACAGAAATTAATAACATCCTATCTACTAGTTAGTGGTTATTTCACCCAGATTGAAGTATTTAGCTACTCAAAAATCCTTTGCTTTTCTCAACTTAAAAAAAATAATAATACAGTATCTTAAGTTTTTGTGATGATTTCATAAGATCTCCATGTAAGCATTTAGGCAATGCCTTGCATGTGGCAAGTGCTCAATGAACCGCACTGACATTAAATTCGATAACTATTTCTAACCCATGTGCACTCACTACTACGTTGCTTTGATGCTAATTTGGACAGAAGTTGGACTTACTGGATCACAGAAACATATCAGAAGAGAACACAAGGACACTAATATTTATTGCAGCCTAGAATGAGACAGCTTAACGTTAAGTACTGTCTGATAGCATTCTATACAATCTTTATGAGTTATGTTATTATTTCTGTTTACCTATAAGAAATCTGGGGCTCAGAGAGATTATGTAACTGGAGGTCAGACCACTACCAAGGAGCGGTACCAATAGCCTGAACAGAGAGGGAATCAGAAGATTGTTCACTGGGTAATACCGGGCCTGATGATTTTTTTGGAGCAGTACACACAGTCCCTGATACACAAACTTGATATGAAACTTACGTCTGCAGCCATGGGGGGCCTCAACTGGAACCCCGTGAGGGCGGTAATAGCCTTCAGCACACAATTCACAGTTCACCCCTGCTGTGTTGTGCTGGAAAGAAACAAACAAAACTCAGAAGGAAGGATACTTCAGGAGAAGTTCAGGGCTCTTTATTTTGAATGATTCATCCAGATAAACAATAATTCTATCATCTCCAGTTGTAATTTCAAAGTCACTAAAAACGTAAGCATTGATCTTGACCTTGGGTCTCCAAGATGTGTCACAGGATACTGGTTTAACCTTGGCTCTAAAAACTTTTCTTTTTTCTTTTTACCATTAGAAGAAGAAATGGTGAAAAGACTCATGACCTAGACACCCTAGGCTGTTCCTTCCACCAAAGAATTTACTTTAATGAAGCCCTTGACATTTGCGTAAGAAAATAACTCAAGAACTAGTTCCCATGGCTTCATTCAGAAAAAGTGATGAGTGAATAATAAAGCAACTTTAGTTTAACCCAAGGAATAAAAAGGGCATGTGTGCATATTTATCTTCTCCAATTTTGGAAGAGCTAGTGTAAACAGACCTTCATCCCCAGCCATTCTAATTTTAGCAGTGCTTTCCTCATGAATCCATTTTCTGAATAGTTCTATTATCTGAATAGAAGATGTGGACCCAAAATGTAGGCATGAGTCTCAGACACAGAGCTCATTTTAAAGTATGATACTAGGCAGCTTTTTCTAGTTTGTGGTTAATTTTCTAGTTTGTGGTTCCTTGTAATTGCAACAGAATCAGATTACCCAGAATGCACCACCAGTTTCCAAGAACTATACATCATGGCTCTAGCTTGATTCTGCCCGTCTAATTCAGAAATGATTAGGGGAACAGTATCTTTCTTTTACTGAAAGGAAAGTCAATAGGAAATTAACAAGAACAAAAATAGTATACTTTGAACCACCCAAAAGTCTGCATAGACACACAGGGGGAAGAACAAAGACTTATTCACTGTTTTCTCCCCTGTTTTAGAGGATTTTATTAACTACAGACTTCCATTTATTACCGCTCCTTGTCCTGTAGGCTAAAATCTGAATTCAGTTTAACATTGAAGTTAAAAACCACTTTTCTGACTTAACATTCATATGCACACACATTGTGGGCAAATAGGGAATATCTGTCATCCTTCCATCAACGGTCCACTAATCCTCCACTCTGGTGCTCGCCACTGAGACTTATCATGGACAAAGGGCATCAGGTCAACATGCCAAATCTTTTTCAGTTAGAAGAGAAAATAAGAAATCTTTTCTGAGGTAGACAGTTCAAGCTTTTCCTTCTAGCACAAAGCAACCCATAACAAAGAAGTTATATTTTTGAGACACAATTAATAACAATGAAAAACCAAGAATGAACAACAAATTATTCTGCAGAGATGCCTGTGGTTTGCTTGAATTCTTGGGTGGTTCTCTTGGACCTGCACGGACAGAGGGCCAGATGCACTGCTGTATTTCTATTCAGGGGCACGTCATCCTAGTTGGACCAAGACCAGGGCCAAACCCAAGGAAACTGATGACTCTGTAACTTCTCCATTGGAGGCTCTGTATTGGAAGCAGTCTTCATGAGAGGAGTAGGTGCTTCTGGTTGCATCTGCATGCCACTATAAGATGAGAAACCTCAACTATCCACGCTAAAGAGTGTAGTGGGTGCTGATGGAAACTGTGAGCAGAAAATGTCTCCTAGCTAAACAAGTATTAAAATAGAAAACCAAAGAAATAAAGATAAAATCAATACCACATGAGATAACTGATAACTGCTTGCCCTACAATACACTGGCTGCTCTCCAATGCTGGTTGTTTGACTGCCAGCCAGGGTTTGAATGTGTCTCCTCCAAAATCAAGAGTTGAAACTTAATGGCCAATGTGACCATGTTAAGAGTGGGGCCTTTAAGAAGTGATTAGCCAGCAGGACTCCTCCCTCATGAATGCAGTGAAGGGCTTATACAAGAGGCTTCAGCATGGTTGGCCCTCTTGCCCATCTGCCTTCCATCATGTAAAGACACAGCATTCTTTTCTTCCAGAGGACATAACCTTGAGGTCCCTCTCAAAGCAGACAGCAGCCCTCACCAGACAACTGAACCTGCCAGCACCTGACCTTGGATGTCTCAGCCTCAATAATCATAAAATAAAAATCTATTCTGTAGGAATGTTCCAGTCTCAGGTGTTCTGTTATAGCTGCACCAGTGGACTAAGACACAATCTGACAGTCGCCAGCCTGTCTCTGAGGTTCTCACTTCACATCCCCTGTCCTGAGCCAATGGCAGGTAATTGATCATTTCCCCCTGATAAATACTACACAGAACCTACTCTAGGATATGTTCCTCTACCAACAAATCCAAACTTGACCTTAAAGCATTGCTTTGTAACTCACCAAGCCAACTGGCCCTGGAGTGGCCCCTCTCCTCCCCTTTCCCAGTCAGCATTCCCAAGTCCCATATCCTCTGTGTATGACACAAGATAAGGCTTTCCCCCTAAATGAAGAACCAGCTGTTCCAAATCATTAATGTACTGTCTATCCTTCTTTTCTGTTAGAAATGCCATTTCATCATAAGTGAAAAATTAACATCAATATGAATTTGTTTTAAGACTACTAGGTTCTATTGAATGATTTATCCCTACATTAAGTTCAATACAGATTCATGATCGACTTGAAATCTCAGAAGACATTTTCTCTGTAATTGTTCATCTTTTCTAAATGATCTATCCTTATCTATTCTTTTTTTAATAAGAACTTCAGAATCAGTCTGTCCCCTTCATAAAAGTCCTGCGGAAATTCTGATCGTGATTGCCCTGAATTATAGATTGGTTTCACAAAAGTGATGTGTATTTATAGTGTTAAGTATGGAAACACACTGTGCCTTTCCACGTAAGTTTTATGAATTTCAATAAAGTTTTATATGTTTGGCCATAGATTCCCCAACCCTTTTGCTGCCTCTCGGAACAATTCTAAATCTTTCCAACATTCACAGCTGTGTGTTCCTTCATGTATGGGTTTTGCTTTCTATCTTCATGGAATCCCTTAAAATTCCTAGTCTACTGATAACACTTTCTTTCCTGATTTTCACATTGCTATGGATTTTGGAAGAAGGGGCTATTGGGCTTTTAAAATATCTTTTCTGTCAAGTTGTAGGATCTGTTGCAGGAGAAAATGTGGGTCACATGTGCTCTATCTTCTGCTTCTGGACTCCACCTCTTAGTTTATGTAGTATATGTACATGACAGAGACAAACAATTTGGAAATAATGAGATGCAAACAACTAGGAAGCAAGTTGAAGACTTAGATCAAAACTCATGTTTTATAGGAAGAGACTAAACTTTATGTTAGTATGATGGAGATAAAATATCGTCACACATTATCTCAAACAATATGGGTAATCTTCAACCTTAAAAAGTATACCGATGTTCACCAAAGGGAAAGAAATCAAGAATCATTTGAAATGTTGTGCTGCTGGCCTTTCCTCATTGCTTTTTTCCATACATTTTACAGGAGTAACTTAGTTCATATTTGTTCTATTATTCTAGGAAAGATGGTCACGTATTTGTGTGGGAAAGATGGAAATGGTTGTATTCATCACTGATGCAATTTGCAAACAAAAACAAAATTTTGTCAAATGCTTTTGTTTACAAACTAAATTGGTCACAAACAAAAGCATTTGTGAACTAAAGTACCATTGTATTTTTTTAAATTTCCAATTTTACAAGTCAACACTTACACACTACCCACACAGTTTACCATTAACATTTTACTTTACTGTATAAATATCCATCTGTCCATTCCTCTATCCATCTACCACTCCATCTTATTTTTTATGCATTTCAGAATGAGTTATGGAAAAGAGTCACTTTCCCCTAAATAGTTCAGCATGGATTTAATTAACAGGAGTTCAACATGTGTCCACAGCTTTTGTTCTTTGGATGAAAATACAATAAGCATAGAGCTCTTATTTGTACACTTATCAAGACAGATACACACAGAGGTGAGACCCGATTCCTCGCCGAGGTAAAGAGTAAAACCATCATCCAAGACACTTCCCCACGCCCTTCCCTGTCAACCTCTATCACCACCTCCTCAGAGTCAAACAATTCTGATTTTTTCCATTATTGACTAGTTTTATGTTTCAGAATTTAAATGGCTCCCACACAATACATGCTCTTTTTGTTGCTGTTGTTGTTTGTAAGCTGACTTTCACTGACATATGCTTTCAGGATTCTGAGATGCTGCATACATCAGTAATCTGGTCCTCTCTGTTGCTCCTTAGCTTTCCACTGCATGTATACACCCGAATTTGCTCCTGCATTCTATTGCTGATGAGCTCCTAGACTATGTCCAGCTTGGGATTATTTGCATAAGCTATCGAGTGCCTAGGAGTAAGTCTTTCATGGGATAGGTGCACGCTTAGTATTGTAACAAAATTCTGTCCCAAAGGGGTGGTGCTATTTTTATATTCACAACTACCATGTATAATAGGTGTACCTGCTCTGCAACCTCATCAAAATTTAGTGTAATTAGCCATTTATAATTGTCTGTGACCATGAGCGAGCCTCTTTAATGGAAGACAATCATGTTTAAAAAGAAATTCTATCAAGGCCCTGGATTCGATTACTGGTACCAAAAAAAATTTATCTAATAAAGATTAAGTCAGATGCCAAGTTTACTAAAAACTTTTAGAGGTCAAATAAAAAGATGAAATTAGAAAAAATAACCCATTTATGTATAATTAAGTCTAGTGGTACATTCAAGATATATATAATGATTATATTCATCATAGGGAGTCTGTACCTATACATGATACATTTTGATTTCTCTTTTTCCCAAACCCTTCAACCCATTTCCCCTGCCTATTTGCAAAGCTTTGGGTCCATTTTACTCTTTTTGTTTTTAAATTTTTTTTCCCTTTTGCCTGCCTTCCTTTACCCTTTTCTCCACCCTGGAGAAGCTCTTCTTTCCTTTTGAACAATTTCTTCCCATTTCACAACACCTATTGTACGTTTTGGTCCTTTTTTACACTTTCAGTTTCTCACCCTAGGAAGACAATGCAACCTTTACACCTGGAGTCCCACGTTCACTGAAAGACAGATAGTCTCTCTAATAAACGGTGCTAGAAAAACTGGCTTTCCACATGCCAAAATCTAAAACTAAACCTGTGTCTATTATCAGGCACTAAACTAAAATCAAAATTGATCAAAGACCTAAATATTAAAACATAAACACTACATCTGCTAGAAGAACGAATAGGCAGGATTCTTGAAAATACAGGTGTAGGCAAAGATTTCATGAACAAAAACCCGACTGCACAGGAAATAATACAAAGAATCAAAATCTGGGAACTCATCCTATTAAAAAGCTTTTACACAACAAAAGAAATCACCAATGGAATGAAAAGACAACCACAGAGTGGGAAAAATTTTAGCTAGCTATCCTTCAGACAAAGGACTTATATCTCTAGTACAAAAGAAGAACTGAGAACATAACCTTCTATAGTAATGGCCGTGCTGGTGACAGTGTAGTACTGTGCCATTTTGATTTGCATTTCTCAGAGTAAGAACAGAAAGCATTTCATATTGACCATTCGTATACCTACTTTTGTGAAGTGGCTGTTTAAATCTTTTGGATACTCTAGGGAGTTATTTTTGTTTTTACAAGTGAGGTTTGAGAGTTTTTTATATATCCTGGATGTAATTACTTGTCAGATTTATGGTTTTTTAGTACTTTCTGCAGGTTGCCTGGTCATTTTCTTAGTATCGTCTTTTGCGAGCAGGCTTTTTTAACTTTGATGAAATTTAATTGCTCATTTTTTATGGTTACTGCTGTACATGACCTAAGAAAATTTTTACATTCTCTGACTCCAAAGGACATTTTTCTGCATTTTTCTCTAAAGCTTACAGTTTTAATTTTGCTTGTGCTCCATCATTTACAGTTTAACTTTTCACTAGTTTAATTTTTAAGAATTTGAGTAAGGATGATAGTTTATCCTTTTTCACATAAAATCTGCTTTTTTCCAGGAACATTTGTTGAAAGAGCTTTCCCCTCATTGGGTTGCTTTGGTACTTTTATCAAAATTCAAATATCCACAGAAGTGTGGGTCTATCTTCTGCCCCTTTCTGTTACTTTTTGTCAACATCTCATTGTCTTAATTACTATAGCCTTATAATTAGTCTTAAAGTAAAATAATATAAATCTTCCAGCTTTTTATTTTATTTAAATCAGATACAGAAAAATATAAAAATTATATATAATTTTTATATATAATTATGCATAAAATATATTTGTATTTATAACCATATATATGGAGTACCATGTGATGTTTCCACACATACATATGTTTCATATTGATCAAATCAGGGTAAACATGATCTGTCACTTTGAACACGTATCATTTCTTTATGATGATGATAAATCCTCCCGATGACTTTGTATGTTGTAGGCAATTTACATATCCTATGCACTTTCAAGCCTCCTTGCCTATTCCTACCCAAAAGTCTATGTTAAATATTTTTTTTGAACTGGGAATGAAACGCAGGACTTCATACTATGTTTTATCACAGTGGTAAGAACTCTAGATTAGTGTTTAACAGAAGTGGTAAATAGCAAACATCCTGGTCTTATTCCCACTATTTAAAACAAAGGAGTTCAATATGTTACCACTAATGCGATGCTAGTTGGATTTCAATAACTGTCCTTTATTGAAATGTAGAAACTCACTTCTAGTTTGCTAGGATTCCTGGGAACACAGCTGACCTAGAAGAGGTGACTGACAAGTGCCTCGTCCTACGGCAGAAGCCATTAACTGATCAGGGCACACTTCCTCAACGCGTGTAGACTCAGAATCTGCCTGACAGCAGGATTTAAGGTCAGTACTGAAGTTGGCATCTACCTGGCCCTCCTACCTTGGAACCTTTCCACCGTAAGTTGGATAGTAGCCAGGAACTCTCCTATTGATTTAGGCAGACTGACATGGAAGACATGCTCAAAGGTCTCCAGATAAACACATCTCAGTCCACTTCTCTGAGGACCCCTAAATTACATCCAGCTAATAAGGCTTTTGTGTGGCCAAATGTGGAGAAATGGCCTCAGAAAAGCCTTTTAATTGCCTCTAATTCTCTTGGTGAGGCTTTGAGAACAAAGCCTGCAGCATGCTCACGCCTTGTCAGGACTCATCCACTTCAATTTAACTGGTGCCTCACCTCACAGTTGATGCAGACCCCTCCACCCTCACGGATGTTTTGCTTATTCAAGCTTCTGCGCTGGTATTCAACATTCGAATCATAGTAACAGTCTGTGCTGTGGCCATGGCAATTGCAGGCTGAAAAAAAAACCGTACTAGATCAACATTTCATCGTTACTATGGTAAAGTCCTTTCTGAAATACGAGGACCTTTCTTAAGAAGTACTTTAGGGACTTTCACACAGACTGGTGTATAACATTATATAATGTATGGTTCCCGCCATCTGATATTAAATGACAACGGCTGCTCTTTTTTGAAAAAATAAGCAATTATAACAAATTAAAATGCACCAAAATGCCAATTAGACTTTATACACGGATTACTGCTATTACTGACACTACTACTACTAACAATAACTGAGTTCTTCACGTACTGTGAAAAGCTTTTTACACACATTATCATACTTAATCTGCTCAGTAACTCTCTGAAATGAGTGACATAATTCCCTCAACCCAGACAGAAAAACTGAGGCTCAAAAGGGATAACTCTTATTTATCTAACAGTATCCTTGAAGAACAAGAGTAGGGATGCCTGGTAAGTTTACTTCAGTATGTTGTCATAACTGTTCTATTTTGTTATGAGTGCTTGTTGACTCTTACTATGTCTAGTGCATAAATTCAACTTTATTGGAGGTGTGTATATAGAGGAAAATACGGCATATGCTGTCCTGGGTTCTAGGGGACCTTGAAACTTACCCCAAGGATAAGGGAGCCTATACAACACTGGCCCCAAGTGCTAAAGCTGACGTGCTCCAGCCCCTTCATTGGCTCAGGGAGACAAGGCATCACTCTCGGGTGGAGAGGGGACCCAGCACCCACCTTCACACTCATTGTTCTGCTGCTGCGTCCCTGGCTGCCAGCGCTTCTGATGGAACCCTGCACAGCAGGTATTGCATGTCTCCCCGCAGGTGTTGTGCTGGCATTCGCACTGCAGCCTGGGCGTGTGGGCAAAGCATATTGCAGTTATTGAAAAGTCTTGCCTAAGAGCAGTTGCTCTGGTGTGCCAAAGCGACAGGTAACTACAGTCAAAGGAGCATCCGTGCGACATTTATGGAATAATTATAACAAACCATGCTGTGTATGTTATTTCGAGCCCCCCATGTCCTGCTTCTTATCTCCATTTTATTGATGGTGAAACTAGATTGCAGAGGTAGTGAAACACTTGCCAAAAGTCAAGTGGTGACAAATGGAGAACCAGGCTTCCCTGAAGCACCCCCACTCTTTCTCTGGTTCACATTATGTTACAGTAGACAAAGCAACAAGCAAGCACTGATTCTGAGGTTGCTGGGGTGAGTTCAGTGTCACATTACCAGCCTCTGGAGCAGTTCTGAGGAAAGGTCTGCTCATGTTTCCTACCTCAACCTGTGGTTGTGCACAGACACTTCTTGGTCGAGGGACAGCTACCAGAAGAACTCAGAGTTCTCTGTTCTGTCACAAGACCAAAAGCTGAGATCACTTGGCAAGGCAAAAATGTAAAGACCAGAAAATCTCACATTTTCCTTAAAATTTTTCCATGTTAAAATGAGATGGCGGTAGCTTCAGTATTGGGTTAGAACTCCAAGCTTTGAGTTTTCCATTCATCCATGCAGGCAAGAGGATTCCAAATAGTTGTCTAAGAAGTTTCCTGGCAGGACCTGTGAAATTCCCTCAGCTCTCCTTTAAGAAAGCCAGGAGGGCATGCTTTTAGTCACACTCCTAAGAAGAGGTGTCATCTCTTTTTTTTCTTTTTATCGGTACTGGGGATCGAACTCAGGACCGCCTGCTTACAAGGTAGGTGCCTATGCCACTGAGCTAAATCCTCAGCCCCTGAGGGGATGTCATCTTGCTGCCTCTTGAAGAATATGGATATAATTTAGCTGGCAGCAGCTGGCATCCAAGTGACCTCTGTCACAGAGGCATTCAGTTCACTGCCAACAAAATACCTGGCCTATGAGGGCTGAATGAATACTTAGGGATCATTACTTGAAGAATATATGCTCCATCTATCCTCAGAGGGAAACTAAAATTGAGCACAGTATTGAAAAGGAAAAAAAATAAGAGTTGAGTAACTGCCTTAGTCATACTGTTCCTGTCAAGTCATTGCTTTCAGTCCAGGCTACAGGCTATTCAGAACATTTGTCCTGTGTCTGCTATGACAATGTTATTAAATATGTCATTCAGTAGAGAATCCTTTTCAATAATGCTCCCTCTGCCCAACTCCCAGGGAAAATTTATATCTTGTCCCCATGTCTACAGTCTGTTTCGCCCAAGCAATTTGATTAGTTTTTAGATTCTAATCACAGTGAAATATGAAACTACATGAATTATATATCAAAACTGCACTGAGTTTGCCTCTTATCCAAGTCCCAAAGCCTATCATCAAGAATACGGGAAACAGTAACTGCTGGTGAAGACGCAGAGCAAAAAGAACCCTCCTACACTGCTGGTGGGAATGCAAATTATCAGAGCTTCTGTAGAAATCAGCATGGAGGTTCCTCGAGAATCAAACAATGGAGTTTCCACTTGATTCAGCTGACCACTCCTCGGTATGACCAGAAGCAGTTAAAGTCAGCATCCTACAGGGATACCTGCATACTCATGCTCACTGTGGCACAATCACAATAGTCAAGATATGGAGCCATTCTGGATGACAATCGATAGATGAATGGATATAGGTGCCTTGGTTATATACATGGTGGAATATTATTCAGTTAAAAGAAAGGGTGAAATTCTGTCACTTGCAAGAAAATAGATGGATATGGAGATAATCATGTGGGGCAAAATAAGTCAGACCAGAAGGACAATGCTGCATGTTGAACCTAAGAAAGCAGAAGTGAGAATATTATTAGACAAGAGGAAGGAAATAAGAAGGAGGGAATGAAAGGGCAGGCAGTGAGGGGAATGGTTATGAGCAAAATACATTATTCACATTGAAACTTCCAAAAATGTGAAGCTAACAGAAAGAGGGGGGTAAAGGAGGAGATAAGGGGAGCTGAAATTGTCAAACGTGTTATGTGTATGTACAGTCTGCCAAAATGAAATCCCTTAATCTGTATAAGCAATATAAAAACAAGTGAGAGAAAATAAAATAACTATGAAGCCAAGTAGCTTTTCTTTTTTTAGTTGGCAGCTAGGGAGCTTGGAATTGAATGTGCGATCCATCGATTCATGCATGAAGGACGATATGGTAAAAGCCTTCTTGTGCCTGATTAGCAACTAACTTAATGATTATCCAGCCTTGGCTTCCTCCACGGAGTCACTAAATCCCCTTAAGTATACTGTAAGATTATTCTCTTCTTCCCGGGTGTAGAATTCATCAGAGCTTGTTTAAAGGTTAGTCCGTAGGTTGGGAGAAAAGGGAGTGTGGAGTGATGGTGCGGGAGTGGGCTGAGCTTTCATCGAGGCACAGGGAGATGGCCTCTCTGCTCACGTGTGCTGGAGATATTAACTAACCAAGCCACAAGTCTTCCTGTTGGGTCAGGATCAACAGGGTTTGGCAGTCCTTCTAAGGGGGCACCTGAGTCCCTTTGCAGTGGCCTCCATTCCTGTCCCACATGGCACCATTTTGTGTCTCCTCTTTCTCCAACTCAGAACTTCCTGATTTTGTACCCCAGAGCTCCACCCTCCAGCAGGGTACACAGTGAAAACAGAATAAGACTTTCCTGATTACACATTGGTCACTGGGTGAACAAGCACCCTCAGAGATGCCCTTGGATCTCCAAGGAGGGATGGTAACATTTGGCACTGTCACCAGTCAGGGAGAAGAGCTTTACAAAGCACACCACACTAGTGACAACTATGCCTGAACACAAAGTTGGCTGAAAGATGTGCAAACCTGAATCTGACTACAAGTAACAGACAACTCTGGTAAACACATCTTATGGGGAATTCTATACTCTAAGTAAAATTTTGAGAGAAAATGATCACTCTGTTTAGCACCCAATAATTTCCATCCTTACAAAGTATCCATCTTGATTAGTAACACAAATGTGCACAACTGCTGACCACATAACATCTTATTGTTTGCAAAGTATACTTGAGCTAAAAACCAAAAAAGGACCATACTCATGTTCTCAGCTGCATTAACCACAACAGCTAAAAGATGGAAGAAACCCAAGTGCCCAACTATGGATGGATGAGGGCACAAAATGTGGTCCTATGAAGTCAATGAAATATAACTGAGGCTTAAAAGGGGAGGAAATTGCCCAACTTAGATGGAGTTTGAGGACATTATGCCAAATGAGCTAAGCCAGCTACCAAAAGACAAACATGTAAGTTCCCGCTCAATAGATCTAGTTCACACCATCACATTAACACCAACAGAAAGAGGCATGGTGCTGGCCAGAACCTGGCAGGCACAGTGAATGACTGTCTAATTGGGACAGACCTGTAGTTTTGCAAGATGAAAAGACTTCTGGAGTTCACTTTCACAGCACTTGTGATTGTACTCTACACTACTTAAAAGTGGTTAAAATGGAAAATTACGGAATGTGCATTGTAATACAACTAAAAAATATGTTTTAAAAGGATTTGAAAATCTATGACCCTCTCATTCCATTAAACCAGAGATGATAAATATACTTTATCTTGCCAAATTTAATCAATTATTTATGACACCTGGCAACATCTGGTAAGTCACAAAAGGAGGCTTAATTCTGTTGCTTGTATCTAGGACTGGCTCTACTCACGATGGTCCATAGTAGAAAGAGGTGGTGACCTTCGTGTTAAGCCAACCGGAAAGACTAAGCTGACTGGTCAGTATCATCCAACCACACTGCCAAATTCAAGGTAAAATGGCATAAGAAGAGCAGAAAAAGGAAAGGAATGTCATAAAAATGACAACAGCACTCACCCTGGCCTGCCCAGAAGTCCCATCCTAGTGGAATCCAATCATCAGACTTCCGAGATCAATGACATCAAACAGTGAGTGTGACTTGTGTGTTTAGGACATTTGAATAACTTCCTAGCAATAAATACTCAAAACTCCTGATTGCTCTTTACTCTGGGTAACACCCTTCATTAAGTACTTTTCATATGGGTACTTTTAGTACCTCAAAAAAGCATCTAAAATTAAATACTTCTACTTCCCTTCTTAATGCTTTAAATCATTGAAATGTAATTTGAACTGGAGAAAAGCATTATTTAAGCATTTGCAAACACAGTGTTTCCATAGATGATTTAGGAAAAGATTTTCACTGTTGAAGGCCTTTGTGTAGGCAGACTTTAACCAGGGCTGCAATCCATTTGACTAGCTCATCATGCTTTAAGGATTTATGGTTGCATGAGAATATGTTCACAGCAGGTCAGACCCAGGGTGTGCTCTTAACTTCTGTGCCTATTGTACCCTGAGGTAGAAAACATCAAACATGGCAGAACTCCACAATCAAGTAAATGCAAAATCAAATTGCAAAGGAAAAAACCATTAGTGGCCGCCTACAGCACCTGCTTCAGTTAGGGGTCGTGGCTGTTCCCCATATCATCCATGGAGGGCTGCGATTGATTGGTCATGCCTGCATGGGCCTGCCAGGGATCTGTGGCAGGAAGTGGAGGGCTATAGGAGGAGAGGTGTGCACACATCATTTTTGTTGGCCTGTAAACATTCCTACTGAGGGAAGGAGATTAGAAATATATAATGGGATGCAAACATCCACTGAAATAATTGGATTTATTCAAAGCAAGAGTGGAAAACCTGCACAGTGTACATACCGTTTCTTAGGATTGTTTGTGCTGCATACTTCAGCATGGCCATTACAAAAACACCGCCCACCGATGTTGATATCCTTTATGCTGTAGTAATACTACACAAGAGAAAAACAGAACAGGCCAGTTACTATGCTGCAGCATAATCATTTTTCACCCATCTTTAAGTCACATCAGTACTGCTTGGCTTCTCTTTTATCCTGTGCCCTTGAACCAATTCTCCTGCTGAATTAAACACAAAAAGGAACCCTAGGTAACCTGTCTTACAAAATAAATGCACTCTTCAATCAAACTCAATTTTAAAGAAGTTCTGAATGTATTCATTTTTTTAAAAAACAATTGCTTTAAATGCGTGGAGAAAAACTGCCTTCAGAAAGAATCATACCTATAGTTTGTTGTAAAGAGATCAAACTCAATTTTAAATAATTTCAGAATATGTCCATTTTTAAAAAAAACAATTTTTAAATGCATGAAGAAAAACTGCCTTCAAAAAGAATCATACCTATAGCTTATTGGAAAGAGATTAAGTGCTTCCAAGGTGGATGGTCTGTTTGTAAATCCAAGTTTTACAAGCTGAAAATATTTATTTTCCAAAAACAAATTCTGCACCAAAAATTGTGTCCCTACTACATGCAACCTACTATCCTAGGCTGCAGGAAGGGAAAGAACATTTATAAAGATGAACAACCAGTTGTTGAAACTTTGCTAGTTTAGGGTCAAAAGGCCAAAGTTAGGGATTTAATCTCCAAAAAAGTGAGACAGAGCCACTTTTGGATGTGCAAATATGCACAGGCCACCTCAATGCCAAGGCCTCTCTACCAGCAACAATAGGTGGCCCCTGCTGCCAGCTTCCTGCCTTCCTAGACTTGGCAGGAGACCACACAGGATGGAAGAAATGTAGAATGTGAAAGAAGCCTTCCCTTTCAGGCATGCTGTAGGTGAGAATACCTGTCAGCAAGGAAGTCCTTGAATTCACCAGGACAAGAGGGTTTCTGTATTTGTCTTGTTGTTGAGTTGTCTTAAGAAGCCCTATTCATTTGAAGTTGGAGTTCCCTGATTAAATATTGTTCAAGTGCCAAAGCTTCCTGGCAACACCTGGCATGGTCCAAACCATTAACAACTCTCTGGTTGCACTGTCAGTGTTTTAGGTAACAAGTTAACACCCAGAGGCTATGCTGACAGCCACAGAAGTTTCTCTTTCTACGCGTCTTCAGGGTGCAATAGAGACAAAGAAGCACTGGGGATGTGTGATGGAATAGCTGGCATTGTGCTCCTCCTATCAGAGAAGCATCTTAGGTTGGAGGGTTCAAGATTAAATTTGGGATATGCTCCATAAAGCATTACTTAGTGAAAAGTCTGCGCCCACCTAAGTGGAAAGGTAGACAATACGGACGAGGGCACAAATCGTGTAACCCTCAAAAAGGACAATTCATGGTGGGGGAGGAAGACCATGGCAAGCTAGAATGCAGCTGCAGCTAACCAGCAATCCCAACTCTCGCCTATAAATATTTATCTTTGGCTCTAACTCAGTCCCCACCAGCATGGTGGTTCAGAGAGAACCAAGAGGGTACCAAATAGGGAAGGCAGGCCGCCATACTCAAAACACCTGGTCCTTCTGCAAAATTCTCAAAACAAAATACATCACCTCCTCCTCTCTCCCCAGCTCTCTACTGTTGCCTACGCTAGAAACCAACTCTAGAAGGTTCACTGCGGATCTCCAATTGAGCCCACCAGGCAGGGCCTGCCTTTTGCCCTGAAGCTGACCTCCCCGGGCTACAGTCTTAAGCTCTCTAGCTCCCTGGTTTCCTGTTGGGATTGGCCAAGAGGAGGCACCTGCAGGAGATCTGAGGGTGGAAGAAGAGTGATAGCTCCGTACTCATTCTGCAGCGCCCCCTATGGCCAGGAGGCGGAGCTACTGTCCTGACTTTCGAGTGAGAGCTGGCCAGGGCAGACATCCAACACTGTAGGGGGCACCAGAGCTCACAGGCTTCTACCTTCTCCTCCATGTAGCCAGGTTACATTATTCAGTCTCCTATGCCTACATACACTGTAGTATGACCTCTCACTGGGGAGGTGACCACCATGGTCAGAAGCAAGGCGATCTGGGTGTTCTCTCTTCCCCCATCTGAGGTCCTGAGGTCCTGAGGTCCTCCAGAAGAGAAAGAGCCTAGTTCCTTCAGTAACTACACATTGTCAGTCTCACCTACTGACCCATCTTGAACCATAACATGAGCAAGAAACAAACCTTTATGTCAGTAAGCCTCTGAGATTTGGGGACTGTTGATTACAGTACTAGTTAGCCCAGGCAAATGCCAGGCTGACTAGAAGCTTTTGCCTTTCATCTTTGAATACAATAATTTTTTTCAAACACTCAGACATCTAATTAGCATCTACTATTTCAGACAAGAAGAACCCTCCTGCCTGCATCACTACTGGCTGTAAAGGTTACTTAAAAGAGTTTGAAGCAATTAATTTACAGGCAAAAAAAAAAAAAGGTATACCACAAAAGCTGCTGAGGCACTTGTAAAACACACTCACCCGCCGAGTGATGGTTGGATCACTGGAGGAGAAATGGCCAAAAAAGCTGTTGGTTTGCAGAAAGCGCAGGCGGATGTTCGTTGCCCGGGTAAACTCCCTCAGGGTGTCTGAGAAAGAAACGGTTTTCATATCTTGATGCTTTCTCACACTTGGACGATTGTTGATCAAGGACACCACAATCTAAAATAACCACACACATAAGGGGCAAAAAAATTTTTTTCATTTAGTAGCAATTATGTAAAACTAACACACACCCCAAAGCACCCTGGTATCTGGAGCCGTCAGGTGTGTGGAGGTGGTCTCAGAGCTTGTTTGTATCTAGAAATACCACTGCTGGGTGCATCTTCCTCCCCGTTCCTGGTCCCAAGTGCTGGCACTAGTCCTTGAAACCCAGACTCTTGGCGTTGTCATTTCTGTTTGGGGATGAATTTTTTCCTCTTTTTTTCACCTACTTTATTTTTTATTTGTACATGTGTGGTACATAATGAAAATAACTACTGTGTGGGGGTGCAGCATATACAAAGGACATCTTAATGCTGTTTTCCTCTATTTTTGTTTTCATCCTCTACCCCTCTGCTCTCTCCCTGCACCTCCCAACTCTCATCACCTTCTCATTTGGAAAAGCTCTGTTTTCAGTACTCAGCCCCTCCTATTCTTTTCTGTTTTATTCCAATCCCTTCCTATCCTTTTTCTCTTACTCTTCCATCCATTCACAAAAGATCTCCCTACTTCCTGTCTTCTAATTTGCTCTCTCTCACTCTCTCTAAGTTTTTATATGAGATAAACTGTGCCATATTTAAGCTTCTATGTCTGATTTGTCTCAAAACTTTAATTCAAGTATATTATGATCTCCAGTTGCATCCATTTACCTACAAAGGCCTCAAGTTTATCTTTCTTTATGACAAAGTAGTACTCCACTGTGTATGAATACCACATTTTCCTTATTCATTCATCTGTTGAGGGGCATATAGGTTGTTTCCAAGATTTAGCTATTATTAAGTGTGTTGCTACAAACATGGGTATGCATGAATTCCTGCAATGATAACTTTCACTTTTTCAGGAAGATACCTACAAGGGGAAGAGCTAGGTCAAATGAAATTTCCAATTTCAGTTTTTTGAGGACTCTCCACACTGATCCCCATAGCAGCTGTACTACTTTACATTCTGACAAGCAATGTAGAGGTGCTCCTTTTCTCCCACATTCTCACCAGCATTTGTTAATATTGATTTCTTGATGATAGCCATTCTTTCTGGGGTAAGATGGCATCTCAATGTTGTTTGAAATTGCATAATCCTTTGTTCTATCAGTGTTTTGTGGGGCTGCCACATTATGAAATACTGAAGACATAATGTTAAAATCTATAAATAGGAAACAATGGTGTCAAGCTGCACGGAAGAAGCAAAGCTGAAGCAATCCAAAAATTCCAATGAAGTTGAAAAAAATGATCCAAAATCTCCCCTACACTTATCCCAAATCTAGGTTTTATTTTAAAGCTTGAACTGATGAAGTCCAAGCCTCGATAATTTGAAACATGAAATGCTCATGAATTGTTGGACAACAATGGATATAGTTACTCAAATAAGATTTCTCTTCTTTTTCTTTTTTAATTCACTATGTAGCCCAGGTTGCCCTTGAATTCACAGTGATTCTCCTTCCTGAGCCTCCCAAGTGCTGAGATCATAGGTGTACATCATCACACCTGGTGAGATTCATTTTCTGTCTGTCTGTCTGTCTGTCTGTCTGTCTGTCTCTCTCTCTCTCTCTCTCTCTCTCTCTCTCTGGTACAGGCAATTGAACTCACAACCTCGCGATTGCCAGGCAGGCACTTGTGCCACTGAACTATATTTTCAAGAGAGGAAGACTGATACTCTAAATGGAAGTTTATTTAAAACTCATCATATTCAATATGCTTCCCCAAGTCTATGGAATTCTCCCACCTGCTTGCCTATCTACCCTAAAGTCAACCAGGGCGACTTATCCAGGGACAGAGGAAACCACAAAGGAACCGCAATTTTCTTCTCCCCAATGGATAATGTTCATCTTGCCAAAAAGGGTCAGAATTTGGCCCTGCCCCTTGCCCCTTGCCCTTTGCTCCCTGCCCCCTGCCCTTTGCCTCCTCACTCTGACTGAGGATAATGCATGAAGACGGTGGGAATCATGGCTTCAGCTAGCAGTGTCCCATATTCTAAATCTGTACCAGAAAGGAGCACTCAAGATCTGCAGACCTTAAATCCCAAATTCTGACTTTCTTTTTTTTTTTTTTTTTTTTTTTGTCTTTTTCCTTTTTATCGGTACCAGGAATCAAACTCACGACTGCCTGCTTGCAAGGCGGGCGCTTAATGCCGCTGAGCTAAATCCCCAGCCCCTAAATTCTGACTTTCTGAGGAGAATTCAAGACCTCACACATACTTTCTAACTGCACTCATTCTGGGAGTCTTGATGTGATTGCTTTATCTTTCAGTCCCAAGTATTGGTGGATCTATACAGTAGCTTAGATCTCCCTGAAAGCGAAATTTCCACAATTATGAAAAATTTGATATTCTCATGTTCATTTCTGCATCTCACCTCTCACGGCCTCCCAAATCCACTTACCTCTCCATTTTCCAAAGGCAGCACACGGGAATAATCTGTAACACAGAGGACGTCATCATCCCTTGTGATAGCTTGATTTGCCTCCTTCCCAAACTGTTGCATGCAGAGTCCTGCAGATGCTAGGAAAAAAAAATTTTAATTTTATAAAGTAAAATATTTTAATTCTTGCAGACCTCTTGAGAAGTCTTAAGAAAATGTGTGAATAGAGAAAGGACAGAGAAGTCTTTCAGACTTTCAGTCAAAAATTTATCTAACTTTTCAGTTCATGAAAAGCTACTTGACTTTGAAGGGCAAATTTGGAGAGGTGGTCTCAGGCTTTGCTTGGCAAATTGAGCCTCCAAGGAGTTTTCATGGAAAATTCAATACTCTTTTAAGGAAAAATTCTTGTCCACCTCAATTTATACAGGGCCCAGGGAAAAGGACATTCCTCATTCATGCAGATAAGAGGCTAAGGTTGTGTACAGTGCGTTATCTATGAAAATTCCTAATTCTGCATAAAAAAGAGAGGATTAGAAATGTGGCCCAGGAATAAGTACCCCCAAAAAATGGCAAGAACTGTTACAAAAGACCTACCCCTCAGCTCTGCATGTGGTATCCTAGGAATCAATGCACACACACTTGAGAAACAGAAGTGGTCTAGGAACAATTTAGGAGGTCAAAATTGGTCCCTACCTAGCCACACTGAGAGACGAATTTTCTATCAAATCTGTAGTCTTGATTTGTTGCAAATAATTAAAGCTCTTTATAACCCGGTAGACAAGATTACTTACAAGCAAAATATTGCCACGGGGTATAGGTGCTTCCAAAGTCTACAGATCTTTCCAAGACCCAAAGAGCTGGGCGAGGAGAATTTGCAAATTTAATTAAAATATAGGCCACTTGGAAGACCTGACAAAGCAAAATAGACACAGTTAGGGAGTCACTTCATCTGTCCACAGCTTCGACCACTTCTACAGGATGCAGTAGGCATCGCATGCAGCTGCAATCACAGTCCTAAGATTTAGACCTTTCGTTTTTAAAACAATTATTTTATTAGAACATGTTTGCAATTCACGCAATTTACTATCATCGTGGGGAGTGGTTTCATGTATATATTACAGCTTGTTTCATTTTGTTTTGTCTTTGAAACCCCTTCCGTTTCCCTTTCCCCTTCCCTGGCTCCTCTGTCGCCTTTTGCTTATTTATGGAGATTGTCTTAGGTGGTGCTCACATTAACTGGGGTTATAAGAGTCCTCTAGAGGGCACGTCTTTATTCCCCTCCTTTCCCCTTCCCCTCTTCCTCCCCCTCACCCTTCTTCCCTTCACCATTTCCCTATGCAAGAGACCCTCCCTTTATGTTCATCCTTTATCCTTTTCTTCACCTGTGCTTTGCCTCATTCAAACGAGAGATACCATATGGTATTTAAGCTTGTGTGTTTAGTTTATTTCACTCAACATTATATTTTCCAGGTGCATCCATTTTCCTATAAATATCTCATTCTTTTGTCGGGAGGGAGGTACCAGGGATCAAATTCATGATCTTATCCTTGCCAGGCAGGCATTTGTATCACTGAGCTAAATCCCTAGCCCATAAATGTCTCATTTCTTATAGCAGGGTAGTAGTTCATTATATATAGATGGGGATTTTTTAACCAATCATCTGTTGATGGGTATACAATTTGTTTCTGGATTTAGCTATTACAATTGTGCTGCTATAAACATGGTTTTGCACCTATTGCTATAGTAGGAGGACTTAAGTTCTTTGGGAATGGTACCTAACAGAGGGATAGCTGGGTCATGGAATTTCTGTGCTTTGAGAAAGTTCCACACTGATTTCCACAGTGGTTGGATTAGTTAACTTTTCCACTAACAATGAAGGAGTGTTCCTTTTCACCACATTCTGGTCAGTATTTGTTATTGTTTGATTTCCTAAAGACTGCCATTCTTTCCAGAGTAAGATGGAATCTTAGTGTTGTTTTAATTTGCATTTCTCTAATGGCCAGAGATGTTGAACATTTTTTCATACATTTGTATTTCTTTCTCTGTGAAATACCTGTTCATCTCTCTTGCCCATTTTTTCACTGGGTCTTTAATGTTAGGTGGTTTAATTTTTTTGAGTCATTTGTATATTCTAGATAATAGTCCTCTGTCTGAGGAGTGGCTGACAAATTTTTCCCATTCTGTAGGTTGTCTCCTCACTATACTGATTGATTCTTTTGCTGTACAGAAGCTTTTTAGCCTGCTATAATCCATTTGTTGATTCTTGCCATTTCTTGTGATTGAGGTTCTATTTAGAAAATGCTTTGCTACACCTATGTTTCGAGTGTTTTATCTATTTTATCTTCTAGTGAGTTCAATGTTTGTGTCTTAAAGTTTGGAGCTTTGATGCATTTTATTTTCATTTAGTATACAGTGAGAGGTAAGGGTCCACTTCCATTCCTCTGCAAACAGATGTCCAGTTTTCCACCACCACTTGTTAAAGTCTGTCTTACCTCCAATATATGCTTTTCACCACTTTGTGAATGAGCAAATAGTTGAATTTGTCTGGGGAAGTTCCTTTACCCTCAGTTCTTTGCCTTTGATCCACATGTCTGTTGTAGTTATGGTACCATGCCATTTTTATCACTACTACTTTGTAGTATAGCTTGAAGTCAAGTATTTCTATGCCTCCTGCTTTGTCTTATTCCTTAAAATGACTTCTCCTATTCTGGAAACTACTTTTACTAGTCTGGGCCAGATCCTTATTTATAACTGTCTGCTGGACATCTCCACCAAGCTTGTGTTGTTCAAAACCCAAACTATCATCTTCTTTTCTCCACCAAACATAAATATTGATCATCAACTTTGTCACAGCTTAGCTAATATTCTCTTGAATTTCAGTCAGTATGTACAGCATCTTCAAGTCTATACATCAAGTCTATATATCAGAAAAGTCTTAGCACATAGTGTGGAACCGAGACCTAAACAACATTGGCGGGGCGGCCCTTCCTGCCCAGCACCGTCTCTGCTGGTCTCCTCTCTTCCTGATGGTTCTCCTTATTACTAATTTTCTTGCTCCGTCTCATCATTCTTTTGCCCAAGGCCATAAAGATGCAAAAGTAAACAGATGAAGTGAGACTTGGCTTCTGCTTTCTACCTGCACCCCATCCCTGAAATCCAATTTTTCCCTCTGTGAGTCCCAGTGTGCCTTGCAGTTTATTCCTACCCACTTTCTTTGAAAATTATCTGGCTTGAGTTTTGAACTCTGTATTTGTACAGTCTCGACTTTGTCACAGAATCTGTGACTTCTCCAGTCACAGATTCATATCTGTAAATTCAATCAAATGATCAAAATATTGGGGGGAAACATTCTATACTGAACACATACAGACATTTTTCTTATCTCTATTCACTAAACTAAAATATAACAGCTATTTACATAGCATGCAATTGTATTAGGCTGTATAAGTCATCAAGAGATAATACAAAGTGTACAGGCAGAGGTGCATAGGTTAAACCATGTAAATACTATGCCATTATATAAAGGAACTAAAGCACACATGGGGATAAGCTAATGTAAATGTCCCAGACTCCGGACCAGAAGCCAAAATCTTTAGGACAATGATCCTGAAACTTTTTGGTGTCAGGACTCCTTTACACTTTTAAAAGTTCTAGAGGTCACCCCAAAATTTTGTTTACATGGATTCTGTATACTAATATGTACCATATAAGAATTTAAAGTTGAGAACATTTAAAAATATATACCACTAATTCATTTTAAATAATAAATCCAAAGCCGGGTGTGGTGGCACACACCTGTAAGCCCAGCACTCAGGAGGCTGAGACACAAGAATTGCTGTGAGTTCACAGCCAGCCTGAGCTATCCAGTGAGTTCAAGGTCAGTCTGAACTACAAAGTGAAACTCTGTCTCAAAAAAAAATCCATTACATATTAAAATAATTACCTTTTTATGTAAAACTGGTAGATTTTCTATAAAAATTTAGTGAGAATAATATCACTGCTTTACATTTTTATGAATCTCTTTAAATGTCTATCTTGATAACAGCTGTGGTCTCCTAGCTACCTGCTTCTCCATTCACGCTCCTGTAATGTGTAGTTTTGGTTGAAGTATTTGGAGAAGATCTTGCCTCATGTAGCTTTGCGATGGGGCAAAGGAGGACCCCAAGACCACCACTGGACCTCCACCTCCTAGAAGGTCTTGGGAAACCTCAGCTTTCACATACACTTTGAGAACCATTACCCTTGCACACAATGATTTAACCTTTTGCACTGAGAAGTCCTTTGCTTATTTCTCTGCTGAGTAATTGTCACCTCAATTACTAAAAACTCTAAGTTCCAGCCTGTTTTGTCCCAGTCATACCTCTGATTTTTTTTTTTGAGACAAAAGTGCTTATCTTGGGTTTTAATTGACATTTCAGACTTTTTAAAAAACAGTGCTTGCCTTGGGCTTAAATTAACATTTCAGATTGTCTGCTAATGCTTGGCGGAGGGTCCCACCCATGAAGGCGTACTAATTAGGAACTACAATGTACACTGAAAACCATACTAACTGTAGGTAATGTGATTTCTGAAAGAACTACATGACATTCCTACACTGTAGAGAAGTTTATAGGAAGTCCAAGAACTCCTATTTGGAAAATTGGAACAAATATACATCCTATAAAACTGTTTGTATAGCTCTCTTAGTCTCCATCAAAATAAGATCACCTTTAAATATGGAAATAAAATAGACTTCAAAAGCACTGATCAGTTGCCAAATCTACAGACAGTTACTGTAAACTCTATAGATTGTACTGGCATGCAGCTACACCCAGGAGAGAAGGCTGACAATCCTGCAGATATTAGGATCAAGGAGGAAGAACCTGATCCTAAAGAGCGGCAGCTCAGTGGTGATTCTACACTGAATACCAATGACCTAACACACTTAGAGTTCAGGTGGCAGGTGAAGAAGAGAACCAGCAGCACCAAGGAGGAGACAGACTGCGGAGGGTAGCTGGCATCTGTCCCAGTTGTAAAGGAGGTGGCGGGAGAGGTACCAATCTTGGGAAAAAGAAACAACACATTTGTCATATACCAGGATGTACTAAAGTGTGTGGCAAGACTTCACATCTGAGGGCACACCTGTGTTGGCATTCTGGAGAGCATCCTTTTATTTGTAACTGGATGTTCTGTGGTAAAAGATTTATTACAAGTGATGAGCTACAGAAACACAGAAGGACACACTCAGGTGAGAAGAGTTTGTCCAGAATGTTCAAAATCCTTTCCTTGCCAAACATATTAAAACATATCAAAATAAAAAAGTTATTCACTGTAGCAGTGCAGCGTTAGCATCTGTGGAAGCTGAGCGAGATGATACTTTGATTACTGCACAGGAGGAACGACATTTATCCTTGCAAATATTCAACAAAGTTCTGTTTCGGGGATAAGAACTGTTAATACTTCCACCACCAGCAATCAAGATATCTTTACCAACACTGAAATACCTTTAAAGCTTGTCACAGTTTCTGGAAATGAGACAACGGAGTAAATATTATACAAATACTTACTCCTTGAGGTTATTTTTATATAGTAGTGAGAAGACTATTGTCCCTAAGTTCTTAGATATCTTTTTATTATGTGCAAAAATTTTTGGAATGACAGCAACGTGGTTATACATGACACTGAAATTCCTTACTTTGTATGATATTCCATAATATATTAAAAATGATAAAATTGCATGGATTTTGTAGGTATTTTTGGAATCTAGATGAAATGAAATTTTACTAGGTTATATAAAGAGAAAATTGAATTTAATAACGTGAGTGGTAGTCTAACCAAATGCATCGATCCTGTGTGGTTTAGTGTAAAAATGAGAACATGTTGGTATTTATCTATTGGAAGATAAAAAAGAAAGTTGGTGGGTGAAAGAA